GGCACGTAAAGCATGGGGAAGAAATGCAGCATGATCTTCCCTCTCAGCACGACCAAAGGAACGATAACTGCATTAATCGTACACCAGTCGGAGATGCACGTAATTCTGCACCACTAACATCCCTGTGATGACCAGGAAGAAAGCATGCATTACAAAGTAGCTAACTGGACAAAGAAAGTACAACAGCTGTATAATCGCAAGGTTGGAAAATGTGAGAGATAAAACCACTAAAGGCTATTTAAATGGGATTAAGATGGGGCATTTTGTGATGCAGTGAAAGTAGCATTACTCATAGCAAACCTGTCTGCATTCAATGAGGTGTCTCCTGACCGAATGAGGAAAAAGATTTGACAACATCAACTCTGACAGTTGTTCTGTCATACAAATCCAAACAGAATGAGGTGGCAAAATCTGGCGCCTAATAGTTAGCCAGAGTGGATAACCAGAGGGCAATCACAGGTGGAGCAGAAGCAAGTCAAAGTAGCGTGCGTGGGTGTGAGCTAGTGTGAGACTGACTACTGGCAGGTAAAGAGCAGCTAACAGCAATTACTCTCTAGGTATTTATGAGTAACACCGACAGATCGGAACATCTAAAGCATTACCTTAATCTGTTATTAAAATCACACGCAATTTAATATGATCACTAGTTTTACAAGCTTCACGGTCATGCTAGATTGCACAGCAAAAATAAAGGTTCAGAGAAAGTTCCTAACTCCTTAAATAGTACACAAAAACTTGCTTAAATGATATGATATTTTTAAACACTGTTACCAAGCCTGGTACAAGCACATGATGGTATTATTGCCACAGCCCCTGAATATATGCAAAAAACAGCTGTTATCTAGAAGTACGGCAAGGCAAAACCTTTAAGTCTGCTAACCATCTACACCATAATTTCATTAACTTGAAAAAAGTCTGATAATTTGCAGAATTAAAGCCTTTCTAAAGCAAGATATTTAAAACAAAGAAATAAATGCAAAATAGAACTGCATTGACACCCACCCCAAAGAGTGAAAAAATAAAAGACAAAAGACTGTAATTATATATAAATAAAGTGAATTCAAAGGCAATACAAACAGGATGGGATCACAGGTTAAAGTGAAATGATGCCAGAATGTGAAGTCTTTCTTGTGGTTAGGAAGAGGCAGCATGCACTGGGCTGCAGGAGAACATTGAGTAACACTGATGGAAAGGTCTAAAGCACACGGTCAAGACAGAGCATCTCCATACTCACATCGATCTCTCCCTCGTCAATCTCGCCATCGTCTTCGTCCTTCTTCTTCTCGCGGAGGAGCTCACGTCGGCTTCTCTCTGATGCCTTAGGCTCCTCAGGATTCCTCGGCTGAGAGTCCTTCTGGGGAGCCATGATAGCGTTCTTCTCCTTCTTCTTCTTCCTCCTGTCGTCCTCTTCATCATCCTCTTCCTCCTCTCCCTCCTCCCCTGCCCCTTTCTCTGCCTCCTCATCCTCGGGCGGGGGTGCGCTCTGCTCCTCGGGAACCTCCTCATCATAGTCCAACTCGTGCTCGTCCAGCTCTCTCGACACAGACGATGACTCGTCCTTCAGGTCACTCACCATGCGCCTTACCACCTCCTCCCCCCTGTCTCCCAGCACCCCCGCTGAGGTCGTACCCATCACCTTCATTCCATCCTCGTCCTCATCATCTTCTTCCTGGTGAGTGGCTGTTATCTCCTCCTCATCCTCGTCATCTTCAGCTGCAGTGAGTGGCTTCTCATGATCTGCCTCAGAATCTAGATAACCAGGACCCTGGCCAATCATGTCCTCCTCTTCGTCATCTTCCTCTTCCTCATCAGCTGAATGGCCAACCCCTCTACACCCCCCAGCTACCACTCCCCTCTGCTCTTCCTGTTCTAGAATGTTCTCCTCCCCATCTTCTCCACCATGCTCCTCATACTCCTGCTCAGACACTCGGGCTCCTTCCTCCAGATCCTCCTCCAGGTCACCCAAATCAGAGTCCCTCCCTCCCTCGTCCTCATCACCATCTTGATCGGAGTCATTCAGAAGATCGCTATCGGAGATCTCCTTCTCTTCCTCCGCAAGGGATTGTGGGGACTGTGTGGGACTTTCAGGAGTATCCATCAGAGGTTATTCTGCAAAGAACATGGCAAGAGACGCTGCATTTTAACAAAGCCCAAGCAGAACATAAACTGGAAACATAACAGTGAAATGCAAAAGAAAATTCAATTTTACATCTGAGCCTTATTTTGCATAGAAATGCAAACAATAAACATGGCAGAAATAAAAACCACGATAATTAAAAGAAGCATCTGTTCTTATAAATACAGAGCCCCAGTATTTAAGTCTAAGTCTAAAGTCTAAGCATTATACTTAATGTCGTGTAACCTTAAGGACCCTAACCCCTTTGCTAAATTTGAGCATATATATGCAGCATGGGAAAACTAATAAGAATAGAATAGAATATTTATTTTATTTGCAGACTCATGGTCTTTATTTACAGACGAATGAATAACCGTCACAACTGACTGCAGCAGTCGAGTACAGTGTTTTTGGCAGCATAACCCCGAGTGCTGCAATATGGGGTTCCCTACCATACCAGCGAAAACTAAAAAAAATAAATAAAATAAATGCCATAAACAGGCACAGGAAATTGGCTTCAAAATCCCAAAAGAATAGCAATATATTAATCTAGAACCGTATTACGACTACTGTAAATCTAACAAACGAATAGTGACATAAATAAATAACTTTTGTTTTACAGTTAACAAGTTTTAATTAATCAATTTGCACCGGAAATGCACTAATAATTACTCATTAGAGTGTGCGTTTCACTTATATTCCTATAAACCACGTTAAATTATGTATTATGTAATGAAAATGAACTAAGCCGTAAGCTAACTAGTTGGCTAAGTTCAGCCGCGTTTAAGGTAAAACCACAACCTCATCAGACTGCACCTTTCCAGCTGAAACACTAACGCCGCCTTCACTTTCCTTTGGCCCCGGCTCGGAAGGCCATACCCCGGCACCAAGTAACCTCCTAAACCGCTAGCAGGTTAGCTGCCGCTCAGCAAGCCGGCTAGCGGCCGCAGGCCCACACACCGTCCTTGCATCGAAGGTACAAGCGCGGCCCGGTAGCTGCCGTCTGCAAGCGCCACATCCACTCAAACATGAAATTAACTTACATTGAGAGGTTAAACGATACATTGCACTTAGAAAAAACGCCTTTCCCCAGCCTTCGTGTGGCACTAGGAGCCACGCTTCCCTCCTCGTTAACAATACGCAGCTAGTAGTTACCTCCTAAAACGGCAAAATACTCGTAATAGAAATCAGGTGGTTAGCTACACATTTCACTTTTACCTTTCCAACCTGAGCGTCTTTGGAGACAGAGCCACGATCTTAGAACTACTCAGGCTCTCCTGTCCGTGTCTGAAAAACTATAATAAATATTAGATTATTGTTATCGTATTTTACCGGAGAGAACATTAAACCCGCACTACACAGTGAGAGCGGCCATTTCCTGACGTCATCAATGTGAGACAGTGCCCAAAGCTCCTGTGGCGTGTTCGTGTCTTCGCAAACTGATTCCAGATCGTATTTATTTACCTCTGTTCCCCCCTGGAACATTATAAACTAAACGATTCAACTGATTCGGGTTCTGAAATTACCGTCTGTCTGTGTTCTGCAGGGACTTAAAGAATGAAAAGGAAAATGGCGTAACAGCCACTAAGGGAAATTTCAGCTTTTAATGGCAATATTAGTAATTGCTTATTTAATAAAGTTATGAGTATTCCTGTGTACCACATGTCATTTACTTTCATGATCACTGCGGACTAATTTTTTGTGTTATTTTAATTATTATTTATTTAAACATTTAAATGCAAAACGAATAAACAAATTTTGAAACTAAATTGCAAATTACTTTTTTTGTGCTTAGAACTTTAGTAATAGCACGTCATGTCTTTACTGCTTTATGACCACCGTGTGTCTCACACTCCTTGGTATATATCTCAACTGCACTTCCAGTAGCTACATCTCTGGCCAGTTTTTTGACATTCTTCATTCTACATTCATTCTTTAGTGACTGACTTTAAAAGTAAATTGAATATCTAGTGTTTTGTATTATAAAAATGAATTTAATTAATGACTACACGCTCCCACACAGACACATTATTTCATACCATTTACGATCGATAGATGGTACTAAAGACAAGGGAATATCATGTTGTTATATAAATTCTGGCCATTGGTTAACGCCATTTGACAATTCAGACCATCAATGCATTAAAAATGGACCTACGATAAGTATTAGTACAACCTATTCAGTCCGATTGAATTGGTTTTGAAGATAACCTTATGCTTAATAGCGCTGCAAAACTTAATGTGGGCTACGTTTGGTAGGCTGTAGCCCAATCATCATACAAAATATCCAACTAGAACAGTGGCAAGTGTACAACAGTGACAATAATAAAGTAGGCTGTATCTAAACTATTTTGGCAATATTTCAATTTCAATGGAAAACACACATAGCTGTGAATAGGCTACATCATCTGTAGATCAATCTAACATTTTTTTCCAGTTTGTCCTTAGTGAAGAAAGTTCAGCTATAAGGCCAGTTGTTTCTCAGCAGATACTTTCTTTTTTGCTATTGATCCAAATCGAAAATGTTTGTCTTATTATGAAAAGCAGGCATATATTCATAATTTCACATATTTCATTTGCGTCAAATGGTATGCAGATGTTGTTTGTTCTAATTTAATTAGCTCCTACGCAAAATTACAGATTACATATCCAAATTATAACAGCTGTGAGATGAGCAAAAAACATCCTTAATCTGAGGAAGTAGACACTGAAAAAAAACACAATCAATAACATTTGAGCGTGTTATCTTTATGTTGTGCTCAAGCTGTCGTTTGATCAGAGAAAACACTGTTGTCGGGTGTGCGTGGGTTGACTGACAGATTAAATTATTAACGAACTGAATGACAGCACAAGGGAGGCTAAAGACCCCGGCGAGGGAGAGACGAAGCAGATGTAGTGCAGCGTGCGAGCTGAGCTTGACGGCTCGGCGCTGATTGCGTTCCAGGGGACGCGCAGGGGACACGCGCATTTGTCCCCAGTCTAACAGTGCGCAAGAACTTCACGATGCCAACGGCAAACCGACACCAAGCGGATAACGACCATTTGAGGCTTAATTGACTTAATGAATGTTTGTCTTGCAACTACCGAGTATGGGTGTCAGGTAAGAAAAATACAAACTATCTATCTATCTGTCTGGTTATTGAGATTTCAAAATGAGCTTTGAAATTGAGTTTTTTTTCCCTCAGTTGTTAGTCTTGGTAATTTATTTTATTTGTAGTCAAGTCAATCTAACATCACATTTAATAAATTTGTTCAAAATAATATTGCCAATGAATGACTCCTATACATCGCTATCATCAATTATATAATACACGGATGCATGTTAAGATTATCCTTTTTCATATACTTGCATCAATATTTTGTTTTATTGAGCTAAACATACATATCCACATCGTGCGAGTTAAATTTGAGTATTTTACCTGTCGCTTTTATCCAGCTACATTTAACATTGGCAGACGCAAGTAACTGTATACACGTAGCTCAATCTTAATCTGAAATACAAATAGTTGAAGTCTCATTAATCGTACAAGGCATCACTTCGTTTTATTAGTGGAGTCGACGTTTAAGTAATAACGTTACACAATCCACATTCTTAAAATAAGTTATAACGGAAATCATACTTATTTAAGGTTACTATTCACCTGTTGTGCAGTACATCATTCTCAGGTGTAAATATTGGTTGGAACTGGAAGTAAATACTTCCATTGAGATTATCATGTAGTCTACCATATACTCTATATAATCATGGTATAAAATGTCTACAATGAAGAGTGAGGTATTAATCTGGAAAATGAATGAGGAAGTTTATGACTTTAATGAATATCGATGATGAGCGTATTATTCAATTTCCTACCGATGGTAAAAATATAAGTCATCTTACAAAGGTGCATATAGCTAACTAATTGTAGGCTATAAGCATATGTGTTCAGTATCTGATATTAAGGATCACCTCCGCCAATCCTCCGTCTCCAGTTAGGCTAATAATGATACAAAGTGGGTCCGCCTACAAAAGGGGTAGATGGCAAAATTTCCCAGTACTCAAATTTCTTAATGGGATTGCATTTCAAAAAGTACGCATTCAATAAATTATAAAATTAAGTTAACAAAATTTAACGTGGATAACCGCTGGTTTTATCAGAACACCAATGTTGCATTTGGAGTTTTTTAATAGGCTACGCGATATTTATGTTCTAATTAATGAACTAATTGTACGTAGTTCATCATATAAAAGAACATCATCCGAAGTCCACGTACGGTTTTTCCAAAAGCTCCACAATTTCTTGAATGAATAGTGCAAGAAAATGCTTCCCGATAGCATTGCGTGTGTTGATATTGTTTTTATTGTAGAATTCTCCCATTTATCTCTTTCTACGGTCCTGTTCGCTATTTAATATACTTATTAGAGCATAACGGATACCGGATTTGAACGTTTTGAGGTCCGATCCCTCGGGGCTATAGACCCGAGTATTTTAAGCCGAGTCCCGAGTATTCGATACGGATACCAATCTTCCTTCAAAAGCAAAAAAGTCAAGTCCCAGGTAAACTTGACTTAGCCCCAGATCTTTTCAATAGCTAGAAACTCCCCTGATTTGAAAGCCCCCCGGAAATTGTTTTGTTACCGATAGATAAGATATGTAATCAGGTAGTTTAATTAAGATTATTAATCCCCCTGCTTCAGTAAAACCTTTGGAGGGGAAACCTCTACCCCTCCCCTGTCCGGTGAAAACCTGCCCCCCCCTCAACGTCGGCAAAATCTCCCGAGAGGAACCTATCGGTATGGCTGCCTGCAAGACCCCCCACGAAATTTATCTCTTTCTACGGTCCTGTTCGCTATTTCGCTGTTTAATTGCACTGACATGGACGTGGTGGGCGATACAATAGGCGGTAATGTAATGAAGGGCTTCGCTGACTCTAAGTTGCAACTTTTGCGTCATGTGTGATTTAATTATGATTCAGTGGTTAACCTCCAACAGGTACATTTCAATGCCGTCATAACTCACTCAGAATCAATGGATTAATGATTAAAATGTGAAGTTGTGTTTAAGGCACAAAAATGTTTTATGTTTTAAAAATCTAGCGATAATGTGGCGATTATATAGACGGCAGTCCTCCGGAACGGTCTTTTCTGCGGGGTTCTTCATTGTTATGATAATTTTTGGTGGTCACACCTCCTCTTCCATTTCTCCAACTAGTACAGTGTTCTGCATTGTACCGGGTTTTCTTAGAATATGCTCCAAATAAAATTACAGCTTACTCTTGTTTTTTGTACTTCAAGTGACAGTTCAGTTTTGATTTGATTAAGAATCTGTGTGTGTGTGTGTGTGTGTGTGTGTGTGTGTGTGTGTGTTTTTCTTGCAGTCCGTCATGTATTTAAAGCCCTCACCATCATTGTTCAGAGGAGTCAACACTCAGGGGTTCCGCTAGAGATTTTGGGCCCCATGAAAGCATGTTATATTGGGCTTCCAACCCAGACCATCATATTATGTTCCAAATTTTTTAGGGCCCCTGTCACTCAGGGGTCCTCGGAATCGTCCTAACTGTAACACCCCCCCCCCCCCCCTTTATGGCACCCCCTGTCAACACTCTTCATGTTTTCTTCTTCATTGTCCAGCTTTCAAGTCCATAGAGATACGGAAAATAACATTCTGATTTTTTTTCCCAGAAATATGATATCTGGGAGTGTAGCACAGTAACTTAGCTGTGAGCATTGCAGTGTTAAACCTGCAAGCTTTGGGGGGGGGGGGTTCAGATTCTGGCTGCATGCGTGGGGGTGTGTGCATGTCTGACTGCACGTGATTAGCATGAGGCTGGCATCCCATCCAGGGTGTCCCCAGTCTTGGGGCCCTGCATTGAATAAGCAGCATGGATGGTTAAAAATGTTTCATTAACTAATGATTAATTTAATGTGCCTCTCGGATGTGGGTCTGCAGATAATGCAGTTTTAAGCAGGAATAATTCATTTTGAGTGTTCTCAGCACAGAGGTTTAAATACAAGTTAAAATAAAAATAAGTTTTACAAGTTAAAAAAAAACACAATAGTCTAATCTGTCAACTGAAATGTCAGACTTGATTGAAATCTATTATTATTATTATTATTATTATTATTATTATTATTATTATTATTATTATTATTATTATGTTGTTGCTGTTGTTTCCATTCGCAATGTATGATTTTCATACCCAGTAGTTTTATTAGAATATGGAAAAAGGAAAAATAAACAATAAATGCTGATGGAAATTTATGAGAACCCAGTGACACGTGGATGAATGGGCTCAGAGCTGGGTACTGTTCTGGTGCCACCTCAGAGGTGACACAAGCGCTACTTATACATGGATCCAATCAGAGAGAACAGAAGCTTTTCTGCGCTAGTCAATCAGCAGATGCAACCTGGTGGAATAACTAATTAAAATATGTTTACGTATATTTTTTTTGTCCTCAGGAGACGTGTAAAGGCGAACTGTTCTGAGGGGGAGAGAGAGGTTCTGAGCTAAAGTTTACGCCAACGTGAGCTCAGACTTGAAGGCAGTCTCTGCGTTTCAAGTGCCGTTCACTGAAGAGAAGACAGCTGCACCAGGAGCCATCCTTCAAGGAGAAGAAGATCCATCTAAGCATATAGGAGCAACTAAAAAAAAAGAAAGACATCGAGACACATATATACCATGAGCGAGAACTCAAGCTTGAAGATGGACACTCCAACAAACATTTCACTGGTGGGGGAATCAGTCACAGAGTCAATAGAATATAAAACCATCTCCGTTTTCCTGGTCTTACTGGTTTGTGGGGTGGGCATTGTGGGTAATATAATGGTGGTCTTGGTGGTCGTGAATACACGGCACATGCGCACACCCACCAATTGCTACCTGGTGAGTCTGGCTGTAGCTGACCTCACCGTGCTGGTTGCCGCTGGCCTGCCCAACATCTCCGACAGCCTGGTGGGATACTGGATTTATGGCCATGCTGGTTGCCTGGGGATCACCTACTTCCAGTACCTGGGAATCAACGTGTCTTCGTGCTCCATCACTGCCTTCACGGTGGAGAGGTGAGTGGAGTTTCTGATCTCATGTTTGGGGTAGGGTCAAGGGCATAGATTGGGGTATGGATGTCAGGGACATTTTCGACTAGTATTGTGGGAGTACCAAAAGTGTGTAGGGGGGTGGGGGGTGGGGGCTAGTTTGGTTCCTACCAATGTTGAAACGAAACCTACAGCAATGGATGAGGATTAACAGCAAAAGAGGGGTCATCTTAAAATACCCCCATATCAGGAACTAAGCCATATTACAGAACAAGATACAACAAAATGTACAATGTGCTAAAATAAAGAACAGATTAAGCAAACTGAATAGCAAATTAAATACAGACAGAAATTATTAGTGATCGTCTGGTCATCGCTACATGTCTCTGGAGGTCTCCACACCAGGCAGTGACCTGGAACGGACAGCTGGAGATGACTTTATAAAGACACGGGTCGATAGCTTACGGATTTCTTGGCAGTGATGCAAATATGCCTAGAAAATCTTCCAAGGAAACAAAATATCTCCAGGCCAGGCTGAGCAGGGTTAGGGTTAGGTTTAGGTTTAGGGTTAGGTTTAGGTTTAGGTTATCTATGGTACGGCCTACATCACTGCTTCATGTGTCACCTTGCTGATGCTGTGTAGGTCTGCATGACTGTAGCTTTTCAGGCATCATTTTACCATCCATCCATCTTCTAACCACTTATCCTGCACCGTGCACAAAGTTGGCATGTGGGCTGCACATGATGCCAGTGCACTACATGGGCGGGTGTGTTGTTCCTGGGGTCCTTCACCCCCCCCACCCCACCCCATTGCAGTGGCTGCTTGTGGCCAGTAGGAGGCTCTTTGCACATGTGTAGTTTAGGTGGCGATAAACACCGCTGCTGCATATTCATTTTGGGTAATAGAGATGCCTATCAGCCTAAGCACATTGGGCTGTATCACAAAGCTGGATTTCTTGCTTAGACAGATAACTTGTCAAATTTAAGGTAGTCTGGCCTAAATGCAGGTGGATGAAGATAAAGTCCATTTAAACTGGGATACCTTAAATCAGACAAGCTATCTGGCTTCATGATAGAGGCCCCACATCTTGGGGGTTATGGGAGGAAAGCCACATGAAAAGGGGAAAACATGCAAACTCATATACACAGCAGAGGTGGGATTGGACCCCCAGCTCTGGAGGTGTGGAGCAGCAGTGCTGGCCGCTGAGCCCACCTCATTTTATGCTCTCGTTTGCTGTTTTACTCTTGCAATATTAGCTCAAAATCCCATTTCACCTATTTGTTAAAGGTACATCGCGATCTGCCACCCGATGAAGGCGCAGACGGTTTGCACCGTGTCCAGAGCAAAGCGGATCATCGCCGGGGTCTGGGCGTTTCCATGCATCTACTGCATGCTCTGGTTCTTCCTGGTGGACATCCAGGAGAACCGGGAGAGGCGTGTGCAGTGTGGCTACCGCGTGTCCCGCGAGCTCTACCTGCCTATCTACCTCATCGACTTTGCCATCTTCTATGTGTTGCCCCTGTTGCTCGCCATCGCCCTCTATGGGCTCATCGCCCGCATCCTCTTCCTCAGCCCACTGCCGCACCACGCCAACGCCACCAGCGCCACCGGCACCACGGTGCGTGGGACCTGCAAGGACACGGCAGAGGGCGGGAAGAAGGGCAGCCGCCCTGGACGCCCCAAAAGCTCCTCCTCCTCCAGGAAGCAGGTATGCAGATAGACATCGACTCATAACTCACAGGACGTGGGCAGATAGATGTTTCCCCAAGCGCCAGTTAAATAGCATGCATTTCGTGCAGCAGAGATTCTGCCAAAAAAAGTCCACATGAATCTGTGTGGTTTGTTTATCCATGTTTGTGAACTTGTTCATCTCAAGACTGCAGCAGGGGTCCGTGTACGGCTTAGTCGGTTTGGTTACTGTGCTTGTGGTCAGACGGTTATCGGTTCAAATCCCAGGGTCGGCAGAGTGATTTCACTGTTGAGTCCCTGAGTAAGGTCCTTAATCTCCAGTATCAGTGTGACTTTACTTTCTCCAATGTCCCTGGATTTATGAACGCATCTGCTAAATATGTTCTGCTACCCTTATCAAAGGCATAAGAGAATACAAACTTCATCAGTATTTAAGGCTCTTATCTTATAATGGATTGTTCCATGATATGTGATATATGGTTGTCCTTAGTGATTAAATGCCAAAACAGGCCTTTAACAGGGTTAATGCCACAGAAAGTGAAACATAGCAAGTAATGCCGTCATCCCTCCATTTTCGAGCCACTTATCCTGGATGGTTGCCTGGAGACTAACTCAAGCGGCACACAGCATTAGGCTGGGGTCCACCCTAGATGGGGTGCCAGTCCATCACAGGGCACATACATGCACACCACGTTATAGGTGCCAGTCTTGGCATTGCATGTCTTTGGATTGTGAAAGGAAGCCAGTGTAACACAGGAAGGAGATGCAACCTTCATGCACATAGAGCAGTGTTTCTCAACCCAGTCCTCAGCGAACCCCAGCCAGTCCACGTTTTTGCTCCCTCCCAGCTCCCAGCCAATCAGGAGCACCGAATAGCTGGTACAGGTGTGCTGGGAGCTGAGAGGAAGCAAAAATGTGGACTGGCTGGGGTTCGCTGAGGACTGGGTTGAGAAACACTGACATAGAGCAAAGGCAGGTTAGGGCTATAGCCACCGAACCGCTATTGATATTTTTTTGCACTCATTACAGCATAGAAGAAATGATATTTTTACAATTTCTCATCTGCCATTTCCAAAATGATCTATTTAGTCCAGTAATGACTCTTGTTCTTTTGGGGCACTATGCGTTTTTCACCACAGGTTAGCAAGCCAATGCATTGCATCATCCTTTGAAGAAAATGGGGAATGTGAACGGCATGTTTGGGACAGAGGAGGAGAGCCGCAGGTGGCCGTAAGCTAATTTGGCTGGGAGTGCCCCCGACATGCCGCCCCGCTTCGATTCTGCTGGATGGCTTTCCATTTCCCCTCATGGCTCCTGTGAGGGTATTTGGGTTTCAGCCGTTTTACCGTTAGTCACTCAGCTGAAGAAATCATACAAAGCAACTGTTTTTATAACTGGAAGAATTTTGAGTGAAGTACCTTCCTCACCGGTACAACAGCCTTTCCTGGGAATGGAAGTGAGAGATTTATGTCCTTAATGGCATCATTACCTACTACACGTGTATGATTCATTAAATTGCGTTAGAACCTCACTCGTCCGTTTAGAGCACTTTCTGAAAATGATGCTTCCATTTATATGAGGTTCTTAAAAATGCCAAAGGTGCTAAAAGCAGGCTCCTTACATTCCTTTGTCAATGCAGAGAGACCCAGGTGCATCATGGGTAAAGGTTTGGATTGAGTAGTACAAGCATTGTAGACCCCAGGGCTTGTTCACAGGGCAGAGCAGTGACTGTGTGCCTGCAATAATGCTGGCTTATAGTGTATGACCAATGCATCACAGGAAAGAAGCCCGTCGCACTGCATTCTCCAGCCTATTGTATTAGCTATACAGCTGCAAGGGATTTTATTAGCGAAAAACTGGAAAAATTGTCTCTCTGCTTCAGCTCAATTCCCCCATATCTGCAGTAAATGGTGTCACATCCAATTGTTTTGTGCTTACTCCGGAGTGTTTTATAAGACCACTTACACTGGGTTGTTTTTCAGACTGATATTAAAGACTGTTGACATAAGCCATTCAGACTGAATGGGATTGTGCCACACTTAAATTAGCTTGTGCTGTAGATGAACACGTGCTATGTGTTTGTTAATCATTGAGGTGTGTTGGTGATGCTTATGAAACACTAGAGCGAGTTGTGGATTGTAATAGAATGAAATGGATTATTTCTTAAACACTGCATTTTTCTGATGTTGGTGAGACACTGCTGTGTGTTGGCAGTATTCAAAGTCGAGTGTGTTGCTGTTTGTTAAACATCGGAGCGTGCTCAGTGATCATGTTGGTGAAACACTGCAGTGTGTCTTCAGTGTTCAAACAGTGGAGTGTGTTGCTGTTTGTCAAACACTGTTTTTTGACGCTGGAGTACGTTGATATTCATTAAGCGTCGTTTTCAGCAATGTTCGGCAGCCCAGCTCTGTGGGTTGTGGACACTGTAGCTTCTTGATGGCCTCTCCCGCTTGGACATGCCCACCTTGCACTTGCATTTACTAAGAGGGCACTCAGCGAATGCACGAAGGCTGGGACCTAGACATTCAGTACAGGCTGTGAATAGGAAATCGGACCGTTGGCCTGAAATGTACGCCAATTGCCAATCATCAAGGGTGCCAATCACAGCGGGATTGCATCAACCCTACAAAGGCTTCATCAGGATTGGTATTATGATGAGGCTTCAGCGATTATGTCTTCGCTAAGCACTGATGTGTTGCCTGACAAATAAAACAGTAGTTTGTATGCATCTTACTGGAACAAAAGATGTTCTGCCTGAATGAGAGGCATGCCAAAATACCATACTCTGTAACCAGCACCAAAAATACTATACTCTGTAACCAGCACCAAAAATACTATACTCTGTAACCAGCACCAAAAATACTATACTCTGTAA